GCGCCTGGTTCCCCGAGGCCGGTGCGGGGGTCCCGCGCGCCCCGCTCTGTGGTGAGGGCGCAGGCCGGGCCGGGTGCAGAGCCTGGCGGCGCTCGGAGCCGTTGGCGCGTTTGCTGGGCCGGGCATGAGGGGCGCGCCTCGGTGCTGCGGGGGGGCCAAGGGCCGTGGCGAGGGGCAGCCTCGCTGGGCTCCCTCGAGCCATGAGCGGCTTCCAGCGCCCCGGCTTTCGGCTCCTCGGGGTCTCTAGCGCTTACGGGCCACCCGAGCCAGCCCGCTGCTCGCCGCTCGGGTGGGGAGAGCTGTCAGATGCAGGTAAATCCTGCTGTCTGCTCCTTTGTCACCTCCTGCCGCGAACATATTGGCTAAGTCACCCCCCACAACAGCACAGGGGTGGTAAGAGAGGGTCGCTAGCCCCATGTGTCTGCCCCTGATAGACTGGCTAAGGCAGTGATGGCTGGCAGGTTGGCCTGGAGTCAGGCAGAAGGAAGGGCAGGGTGGCACCTTCGAGACTGACTGGATCGGAGGGGTGGGAGCTGTTGTCGGCAACACCTCCTTTGCTGGAGCAGGGAGGTGCTGTGTGGATCAGACCCGGCAAGCGCCGATACGATAGTCGATCTCAGCGCGACGGGGAGGGCGAATCCGCATTATGTCCAGATTCAGGGACTCCGGGGACGGGGCCGCTGGCAGTGGCTGGGATGTGGCCGAAGGGCAGGAGAGTGCCGCGCTTATTAAGCGCGCCTGTAGGAGCCCCCTCCCCTGGTGCTGCACCCCCCTGCACGCAGTCTCCTGGATTGCAAAGTGACCGCACCGCCCTGCCGGTCCTATTTCACGTGAGTCGAGGTGGACAGACGGGGCCTGAAGATCGACCCTGAACGTTTTCTCCCCCGGCTCCGTCTCTTCCTCGTGTTTTCGGCCATCCGGTCGCTATATAGGGACGACTTTTGTACCCCCTCCCTCTGCCCAGGCTCGCCGTAGTATGGAGATAGATGAATTTATTCTTCTCATCTATTCACACAGATGAATTTGTTCTTCTGACTCTTCAGCAAGGGAAGGCGGTTTCACAGAAACATGATGGTTGTGAAGCTAGATCCACAGTAATTTATGGTCCCTCTGAAGCCCTCTCTGCTGCAGGCAGTCCAGCTCAAGCCTGGCGGTCATCCAGCCCAATGCTGGAAGCTCAGCACCACGTCTAGGTGTAAGGCCCATCCCACTGCTGCCTTCTCCCTTCAGGGTGTCGGGGGGTCGCCTCCGCAGGCAGGGTTCAAGCACAGGAAGCCAGCCAGCAATAACCCCCCAGTTCTCTGCACCCGACTTCCAGGTACTCTGCACCCCACGCTACCTGCCTCTTAGCACAAATCTGGAAGGAGAGACACATAATCTGTAGAAAACCAACATCCTTTGAAAACCTGTGGTGCATGTCCATAAGATGTAAGAAATAGATAAGACATAAAAAATAAGCAGCGGTGTGGATGTCCTTGGCACAGGCCACGAAGTGGGGCATCCTTTAAGAGCCAGGCCTTGGCCATAAACAAGCCCATCTCTCCTCATCACAGCTGCCGTCCCCTGTGCCAGGCTTTCTGCCGCTTCCCATGGTGCTGCTGCCCTGTCTGTGATACCACAGGCAGCTGGCCTAGAGAGCCCTGCTCAGTAAAATCTCCCCTCTGCAGCTTTTAGAGCTGTTTTGGCGTGGGCAGGGGTCTCCTCAGCTGGACCAGAGCAAGCTGACTAGTGCAGACAGCCTGAATCACTTTCTAGCTCTTGTCCATGCTGCTTCTGGACAAGCCAGTGGCTGGCTGGAGGGCTGCTGCAGACGTGGTTATGTGCATAGGTTATGTGCAGCCCTATGTGCGATGCGTCGGTTATGTGCAGCCCTATGTGATGCATCGGTTATGTGCAGCCCTATGCGATGCGTTGGTTATGTGCAGCCCTATGTGCAATGCACCGGTTATGTGCAGCCCTATGTGCGACGCGTCGGTTATGTGCAGTCCTATGCGATGCATCGGTTATGTGCAGCCCTATGTGAGATGCATCAGTTA